GACCGCCGCCACCGCCATCACCAACCTCCGATTCGCCCGGTCGGCTACGTATGGCGCGCAAGAAGTTCCACATCCATGCGTAACAACGCAGACTCAAGCAACAAAGATCCCCCGTGTAGCCTAAACGAAGCTGTGTGCACAATGGTGTACACCTGAAGACGGAAGCTTGTGTTTATTTTACTTTTATTAATTTGAATTTTGTACCTACGTGACTTTACCGAAAAAACCTAAGAATATGTTGTACATCTGTCGTGAAACGGTCTGCTCGTTCATCACTTGCCAGTCGTGCATCATTGCTACCCCGTACACACCTGTTCCGTGTGCACGGGATAGAGCGTTGCGCCCTCGCACAAGGCGTGGATTTGCCGTCGGGTGCTCCCGGCGTCCTCCCACACGTACAACCAACTCGTTATTTAATTGGGCCGATAACACCTCGATATGTGGGGGACCGCAGAGCTTGGGTTAGCTCTTGGTCTTGCCGGCTGCTGGTCCTGCTGCTGCTGCTACTGCTGCTCCTGCTGCTGCTGATGCTGCTGCTGCTCCTGCTGATGCTGCTGCTGCTACTGCTCCTGCTGCTGCTGCTCCTGCTGCTCCTGCTGATGCTGCTGCTGCTCCTGCTGATGCTGCTGCTGCTCCTGCTGCTCCTGCTGATGCTGCTGCTGCTGCTGCTGCTCCTCCTGCTGCTGCTCCTGCTGCTGCTGCTCCTCCTGCTGCTGCTGCTCCTGCTGCAGCTGCTGCTCCTGCTGCTGCTGCTGCTCCTGCTGCTGCTCCTGCTGCTGCTCCTGCTGCTGCTGCTCCTGCTGCTGCTGCTCCTGCTGCTCCTGCTGCTGCTGCTCCTGCTGCTGCTGCTGCTGCTCCTGCTGCTCCTGCTGATGCTGCTGCTCCTGCTGATGCTGCTGCTCCTGCTGATGCTGCTGCTCCTGCTGATGCTGCTCCTGCTGCTGCTGCTGCTGCTGCTCCTGCTGCTGCTGCTGCTCCTGCTGCTGATGCTGCTCCTGCTGCTGCTGCTCCTGCTGCTGCTGCTCCTGCTGATGCTGCTGCTCCTGCTGCTGCTGCTCCTGCTGCTCCTGCTGCTGCTGCCTTCCCGCTCCTCGACTGTGGTAATTCCTCCCGTAGCGCCTTCTGAGTCGCCTCCACCCCCCACCGCCCTCTCTACGAGTCGTCCTCTCTCTCTACGAGTCGTCCTCTCTCTCCGAGTCGTCCTCTCTCTCTATGAGTCGTCCTTTCTCTCTGAGTCGTCCTCTCTCTCCCGCGAGTACCGTGCGGTTGCGGCGCGGGGATTTGCGAGTTGAAGTCGTCCGTGACGTCTTGAGGCAGCGATGTGGCAGCAACTGTCCTTGTGTGAGCGGTGGTGCAGCGGTTAGCACTACGAACCCGGCCACCCGAGTTCGATTCCCGCTCACAGCCACGGACACCGGTGACGATTCTCTCAACCGGTCCTGGGCCTCCATCCCCTAGGTCGACTCGGCCTCAAATGAGTACCTGGTGCGGTGTGTAGTAAACATCGCCACTGGGGAGACAAAGGCGGGCGGGCGTGGTGCTGGCCACCCACCCACTTGGGTTGCCGTGCCGGCCTTCATAGGTGCTGCTCGCTAACAGCACTTGCCCCTACAGTCTGTTCGGGCTATACGGGGGGGGGGGGCATCTTTGCCTTTGTGTGTGACTCATGTCTGAGGCTCCAAGCCAACCTGAGCAATTATGAGTCTGTGAGCAAAGCCCCCTTGACATTACCAAATCATTGGGCTCGCGTCTGGCCCTCCTGAGCGAAACCAACTCGCTCGATGGAGCTTCAAACGAGTGGCCCGGTGCGGCGTGTAGAAATCAGCGTCGGGGGAGACAAAGGCGGCCGGGCGTGGGTGCTGGCTACTACCGATCGCTTTCGTGTGCCGTGCCGGCCTTCATAGGGTGCTGCTGCTGCTGGTTCGCAGCACTTGCCCCTGCGGCCTGTCGAAGGCTACACGGGGGACCTTTGTTGTTGTGTGTCTGTGTGGAGTTAAATGCCTGACCGTGGAAATGTGGAGGTCATGACCCGCTTGAACATTCCTGCGCGGTTAATTATTTATTTATTATGCAGCCCCCCCCCCTCATCCCCCCACATTTCCACCACGACCCCCCACCCCCCTGTACCTCATCTTAACCTCCAACATCCCCACCAAAGATCCCCCGTGTAGCCTCAACAGACTTTTGGGGCAAGTGCTGTTAGCGAGGGAGCAGCACCTCGTGAAGGCCGGAACGGCACGCGAGGTGGTGGGTGGCCATCATGCACGCCCGGCCGCCTTTGTCTCCCCATAAGGGCGATGTTTACACAGTGCCCCAGGTTACTCATTTGAGGCTGAGTCGACCCAGGACCGGTTCAGGGTAATCGTCACTGATGTTGGCCGTGAGCGGGAATCGAACTCGGGTCGCCGGGTTCGTGACGATTATCTGAACCGTGCCTGGGCCTCCCCTAGGTCGATTCGGCCTCAAATGAGTGCCTATGTGAGGTGTGTAAACATCGCCACTAGGGAGACAAAGGCGGCCGGGCGTGGTGTTGGTCACGTTCTCCCCTCGTGTGCCGTGCCGGCCTTTATAGGTGCTACTCGCTAAGAGCACTTGCCCCCACAGTCTGTTAAAGGCTACCCGGGGGATCTTTCTCCCATGTTACCCTTTTTGCCAAAGTGCTATATAAGGCCTGGGAACTGGATTTCTTTTCAATTCTCCACGTGGTTGCAGACGTAAATAAGCAAATAATGAGACTCTGTGACCCTTATTTGGAAGAAATTGTAGCAGTGGGAGTTGTGAAATTAGAGGGTGGTGGTGGTTTTCTCTGTGTGTTGGTGGGGGGTGCGGAGCGGTGGTGCAGTGGTTAGCGCACTGTGCTTCGATCTTGCCCACCTAAAGTTAGATCCCCCGAACCCACGGCTACCATCAGAGGCGAAGCGAAATGTGTATCTGTTCTGGGTCTCGCCTAGGTCGACTCAGCCTTAAATAAGCAAACCCTTCCTATTCAAGACGGTGCGGGCTGCAGATTTTCAATTCATTTTAACCGCGTCCCCGATTTCCAGAGCTGTGAACGTCTCCGCTGTGTCTGCCGACCTTAATAGGTGCTCGCTAACAGCCCTTGCCCCCAACAGTCTGTGTTATGGCTAGACGGGGGTTGTGATGGATGGGTGGTCAGGCGTGGCGTGGTGAGCGTGAGTCGGGAGGGGTGGGGGGGTGGAAGGTGTGGGGGGAGGGGAAGGGGAGGGGGGAGGTTGAACACGTGTTCAGAGCCACTCCTAGGTGACACGGGATGTGCACGAGGTTGGACAGGTTTTTTGTTATTGCTGCTGGCAAATAACAAGAACACGTCCAATGAATAAAAAAAATATCATAGACGTCATTGTAGCCATCGTCCTTGTTATCGTCAACATCGTTGTCATGTCGCCATTATCCCAACCATCATCATCATCACTGTCGTCTTCATCATCACCACCCAGCATCAACATCGTCATAGTTTTTCATCATCATCATCATCATCATCAGAAACATCAGACTTGTCAACGTCATAATCAGTCATTATTAATCGTTACGACCTGCAACATCGTCAAGGTCATCAACATCATTATCAGCAGCACCATCTTCACAACAGCCACCACCACCACCATCTTCACAACAGCCACCACCACCACCATCTTCACAACAGCCACCACCACCACCATCTTCACAACAACCACCACCACCATCTTCACAACAACCACCACCACCATCTTCACAACAACCACCACCACCATCTTCACAACAACCACCACCACCACCATCTTCACAACAACCACCACCACCATCATCTTCACAACAACCACCACCACCACCATCTTCACAACAACCACCACCACCACCATCTTCACAACAACCACCACCACCATCTTCACAACAACCACCACCACCATCTTCACAACAACCACCACCACCATCTTCACAACAACCACCACCACCATCTTCACAACAACCACCACCACCATCTTCACAACAACCACCACCACCACCATCTTCACGACCACCACCATCTTAATAACCACCGTCATCACCACTACCACCACCACCACCTTCACGACCACCACCATCTTAACCGCTGTCATCATTATCACCACCACCATCTTCACAACCACCACCACCGTCTTCACAACCACCACCACCGTCTTCATTACCACCACCATCTTCACAACCACCGTCATCATCACCACCACCACCATCTTCACCATCACCACCACCACCTCCACCACCGTCTGGGGGGGTCGGTAAAACGAGTACCACATCACGAGGCCGCACCACGCGGTGCAAGATGAATTGTCCCCACCATAGGAACGTGGAATTGACCACCGGTGGCATCAGCGCAGCCACTGATGCGTGCTGCTCGCACTCGGCACCCTGTGATCGCTCTTGCACCTCGAGATGCTAACGAGGCGACGTGCAGCACAGAGGGGGCCCTTCCCAACGCGTCGATCGGCAGGCCGAGCATGGTGGGGTCGAGTGTGGGTGCTCCTCCCACCTCTTCCGAGACGTCTGACCAGCGAGGAAGAGTAGACCAAGGACGCTATATATATATAAAAGGGGCTCTGCAGTGTTCACTCTAGTGGAGGCCCTTCCGCCAACGAGTTGGCAATTGCGGGACTGCCGCTTTTGTCAGACGGTTCGAGCCCCGGGCCTCTGGCTTGAAGCAGGGGGTGGTGGGGGGAGTGGGGTGATCTTGATGTAATTGGGTGCAATTTGCGAACAATAGCCAGCGTGAGACATTCAGTCACGTCTCTGATCGGCGTCATCGTTGGTTCACTGCAGCTCAAAGACTCCGCGTGGCCGTGCGGTTCCTGTCCCTTTGATTATTGTCGCAGTCGAGAGCAATGCCGGATTTTCCGAGTAGCACAAGTAGCTACATATGTGTAGTAGCTACTACACATGTGTAGTACCTGCATGTTCGCACACCTTCAGCGGGGGGCGGCGATTGTAACCGCGTGTGTCCGTGTCGTCTGTGTGCCCTCTTCCAGATTTCTCCGCGTTCCCCGGCTCCGCTCCGCACGATGGCTCCAACCTGGCAAACGCAGTGAGTTGGCGAGCCATCTCCCTCCACACCACCACCACCACCACCCCTCCCGCACTTCGGATCATCAGGTCCAAACCTTCACCTCGTCTGACCCACGAACTCCACCTCCTGCGTTCGTTATCTGCAGCGATGGCAAACACACGTGCACGGGGCTGTGTGCGCGCGCGTGTGCGTAGGGAGCGGTGGCGCAGCGGTTAGCGTCACCACGCTACGCGGCCAACACCGGTGACGATAGTTATCTGAACCGGTGCTGGGCCTCCCCTAGGTCGACTCGGCTTCAAGCGAGTACCTGGTGCGGTGTGTCAGCATCGCCACTTGGGAGACAAAGGCGGCCGGGCGTGGTGTTGGCCACCCACCTTTTCGTGTGCCGTTCCCGCCTTAATAGGCGCTGTTCGCTAACAGCAAAGCTACACGGGGGATTTTTGTCTCGTGTGTGAGTATGGGGGTGTGGTGAGTGAGGTGAGTGAAGTGAGTGAGTGAGTGTGCGAGCGGTGTGAGTGAGTGATTGACTGAGTGAGTGTCGGTGTGAGTACAAACGAGGTGAGTGTGCAAGTTTGTGTGTGCGTGTATGAGCGAGAAAGTGAGTGTGAGTGATTGAGAGAGTGTTGCGTGAGAAAGTGAGTGTGATGAGTGTGTGCGTGCGTGTGTGTGAGAAAGTGAGTGTGATGAGTGTGTGCGTGTGTGTGCGTGAGTGTGATGAGTGTGTGCGTGTGTGTGCCTGAGAAAGTGAGTGTGATGAGTGTGTGCGTGTGTGAGTGATTGAGTGTGTGTGTGTGCGAGAAAGTGAGTGTGAGTGTTTCAGTGTGTGGTTGTGTGTGTGCGGTTGGTGTTTGTCTCTGTTGCTAAGCTAATATTGATCAATTACAAATGAAATATTTTTCTCAGTATCACCGCTCGCCTCCTGGTGGACATCATACACAGCGATACTCGATTCACATTCTAAAGAACCTAAACTATTTTTTTATTTAATTTTACGAGGGCCAGGGGGGGGAGTGGTGGCAGTACCCACACTTTACCCCACCACACACGACCTGCCCATCGAATGACTATCGTTTAGCCATTCGTATCACTCGCTGGACAGCGACCGAGAGATTTAAGAACATTTAAGCTCAACAATATCTTTTTTTACGAAGCAATTTTTATTTTTTTTAACCAGGTAAGCTCCTGCTGAGCCTGCTACGTAGCTATTTTTCAGAAGCGACCTGGCCATCACGAATGATAGCTCAACGAAGTGGGCTTCTCATCGTCATCATCGTCATCGTCATCATCGTCATCGTCATCGTCGTCGTCGTCATCATCGTCGTCGTCGTCGTCGTCGTCGTCATCGTCGTCATCGTCGTCGTCGTCGTCGTCATCGTCGTCATCGTCGTCATCGTCGTCATCGTCATCGTCGTCATCGTCATCGTCGTCATCGTCGTCATCGTCGTCATCGTCATCATCGTCATCGTCATCATCATCACGTGGGCATTTATAGCAGTGGCCAAATGCTCTCAACGCGTGGTGATGTCCATTCTAAATGTGGAGGGAAAAACCGAAGGACCTTGAGAAAAATCCACGCGACCACGGGGAGAGAGAGACACGCAAACTCCACATACACAGCATTAGCGATACTTATGACGACGATGATCAAGGTGATAATGTCGAGGATGATAATAATTACACTGATGACGACGATGTAGATGATGAACAATGACGACGATATTGATAATAATAATAATGACAAAAATGACGATGTAGAGGATGGCGTCACAATGATGATGATGTTCATGGCATAACAATGATTATGTAGATAACAACAATTATTATGTAGATGATGACATACAAATTATGTCGATGATGACGTCACAATGACGACGATGTCAATGATGACATCACAATGACGACGACGATGATGTAGATGATGACATCACAATGACGACGATGATGTAGATGATGACATCACAATGACGACGATGATGTAGATGATGACTGATGTAGATGATGACATCACAATGACGATGACGACGATGTCTGATGACATCACAATGACGATGACGACGATGTCAATGATGACATCACAATGACAACGACGATGTCGATGATGACATTACAATGACGATGACGATTGTGTAGATGATGACATCACAATGACGACGATGATGTAGATGATGACATCACAATGACGACGATGATGTAGATGATGACATCACAATGACGACGATGATGTAGATGATGACTGATGTAGATGATGACATCACAATGACGACGACGATGATGTCGACGATGACATCACAATGACGATGACGACGATGTCGATGATGACATCACAATGACGACGATGGTGTAGATGATGACTGATGTAGATGATGACATCACAATGACGACGACGATGATGTCGACGATGACATCACAATGACGATGACGACGATGTCGATGATGACATCACAATGACGACGATGGTGTAGATGATGACTGATGTAGATGATGACATCACAATGACGACGACGATGATGTCGACGATGACATCACAATGACGATGACGACGATGTCGATGATGACATCACAATGACGACGATGGTGTAGATGATGACTGATGTAGATGATGACATCACAATGACGACGACGATGTCGACGATGACATCACAATGACGATGACGACGATGTCGATGTCTGTCACAGTCCCCGGCTTGTCTGTCGGCCCACTCGCTGTGCGGGGGCGAGTGGGGGCCCGCGGAGGGGCGGGGGGGGGACGCCCCCACCCCCACGCTCGCCCGCAGGGTGCCCAAGCGACGGTCCAACATCTTCACGGTAACGACGCGATCATCATCCTCCTCATCGTCATCGTCATCATCATCGTCCTCCTCATCCTCCTCATCCTCCTCATCATCCTCCCATTTTAACACCGCACCGTTCTAACGTCACCCCCATTGCAACACCGCACCGTTCTAACCCCCCCCCCCCCCCCCCATTGTAACACCGCACTGTGTTAACTCGTCATTGTAACACCGTACCGTTCTAACGCCACTCCCCATTGTAACACCGCACCGTTCTAACACCCCCCCCCCGCCCACCTCCCCCGTGGCGTTGCGCAGAGGAACAGCGACGTGGAGAAGGAGCGACGGGCGGCGGCCGGGGGGGACTGCATCGGCAGCGGCCGCGCCATCCCCGTCAAGCAGGTGGGGCCCTGCTGAGCTTGGGAGGTTCGGTGGCTTCGAGCCCTGGGGGGGGGGGGGGGGGAGGGGGGGGGGAGGGGGGGGGGGTGCCTCCCGTGGGGTCGTGGGGTTCACGACGGCCGCGGTGGAAGTTCGAGCTCGAGCCATGAACTCCGCCCCCCTCCAACGCCACGCTCGGCTGCCTTTGTCCCCCCCCCTCTGCCCCCCCCCAAAATAATTCTCCTCCACTGAGTCTCAAAACTCCCTGACAGGAGGGCCTTGCCACGCCGGGATGCTGCGCCGATTCGTTTGACGAGCGCTGCTCGGGCATCACGTGGGTACGGGTGGACGGTCGCCATGCGCAGTCTGTTGACCCCGTGACCCCCCACCCCCCACAGGGCATCCTGCTGAAGTGGGGCGGCACCCTGAACAAGGAGTGGAAGAAGAAGTACGTGACTCTGTGCGAGGAGGGCCTGCTCACATACTACCCCAGCCTGCACGTGAGACTCCCTCCTCCTCGTCCACCTCCTCGTCCACCTCCTTGTCCACCTCCTCGTCCACCTCCTCATCCACCTCCTCGTCCACCTCCTCGTCCACCTCCTCGTCCACCTCTTCGTCCACCTCCTTGTCCACCTCCTCGTCCACCTCCTTGTCCACCTCCTCGTTCACTTCCTCGTCCACCTCCTCGTCCACCTCCTCGTCCACCTCCTTGTCCACCTCCTCGTTCACTTCCTCATCCACCTCCTCGTCCACCTCTTCATCCACCTCTTCGTCCACCTCCTCGCCATCCTCCCCTTCCACCTCCTCCTCCATCTCCACTTCATCATCATCATCATCATCCTCTTCATCATCATCATCTTACACCCCTCATCCTCCTCCACTGCCTCTTCATCCCCGGACCTCCGATCAGCACGGTTGGCCATGTACGCTGCGAAAGAAGTTCAACGTTTATACGTGCATCGTCATCCTCCTCCCCATCCTCACCCTGCACCCCCTCCCCCCCTCGTGGGGCCTATTCAGAGCGATGACGAAGAAGGTGATGACGACCCCTGCACTAGGGTCCAGGGGTGGAGGGTGCAGCATCCAGAGAGCCCAGGGTCTCCAGGGAGCCCAGGGTCTCCAGGGAGCCCAGGGTCTCCAGGGAGCCCAGGGTCTCCAGGGAGCCCAGGGTCTCCATGGAGCCCAGGGTCTCCAGGGAGCCCAGGGTCTCCAGGGAGCCCAGGGTCTCCAGGGAGCCCAGGGTCTCCAGGGTCTCCAGGGAGCCCAGGGTCTCCAGGGAGCCAGGGTCTCCAGGGAGCCCAGGGTCTCCAGGGAGCCCAGGGTCTCCAGGGAGCCCAGGGTCTCCAGGGAGCCCAGCCCAGTGTCTCCAGGGAGCCCAGGGTCTCCAGGGTCTCCAGGGAGCCCAGGGTCTCCAGGGAGCCCAGGGTCTCCAGGGAGCCCAGGGTCTCCAGGGTCTCCAGGGAGCCCAGGGTCTCCAGAGAGCCCAGGGTCTCCAGGGCCCAGGGTCTCCATGGCCCAGGGTCACCAGGGAGCCCAGGGTCTCCAGGGAGCCCAGGGTCTCCAGGGTCAGGGTGCAGGGTCCCAGGGCCCAGGGTCTCCCAGGGTCCCCCAGAGCCCCAGGGTCTCACAGGGCCTAGGTCCCATGCCACTCCCGCCTCGACTACGCCACTGGTTTCTGTGACCATCTCGCTGTGGACTGCTGCATCGCCGGACCACGATGCACGACGGGGACTTGGCAGGGATCTTCATCCAGCAGTGGATTGATCAGGGAACACCCCCCACCCCCACCCCCCTCCCCCAGGACTACATGCAGAACATCCACGGCAAGGAGGTGGCGCTGCTGGGAACCACCGTGAAGGTGCCGGGGGCCCGCCCCCCCGGGCCACCTCCGCCTCCTCCTCCTCCTCGGCCCCCGCGGCCCCCCACGGCCCCCCGGCCCCCAGCCCCAGAGGCAGCCACCTCGCCGGAGACGAGAGCGGGGCCACAGCCCACAACGCGACCGCCAACGGTGAGGGGGGGCGGGCGCGGAGGGGGTGGAGTGGGGGGGGGGGCGTTGGGGGGAGAATAAGATGAGGAGGAATGGCAGTGAGGCGGAGGAGGATGAAAGATGGAGGAGGATGGAGGAGGATGAAGGATGAAGGAGCAGGAAGGATGGAGGAGGATGAAAGATGGAGGAGGATGAAGGATGAAGGAGAATGAAGGATGGAGGAGGATGAAAGATAGAGGAGGATGGAGGAGGAGGAAGGATGAAGAAGAATGAAGGATGAAGGAGGAGGAAGGATGAAGGAGGAGGAAGGATGGAGGAGGAGGAAGGATGGAGGAGGAGGAAGGAGGAGAAGGATGGAGGAGAATTAATGATGGAGGAGGTGGAAGCATTGAGGAAGAGGGAAGGAGGAATGAGGATCGGGGAGGGGAGAATGGTGAGGAGGGGGGAGAGCGGTAGGAGGAAGAAGGGATGAGTGGAGGAAGATGAGAAGGGGATGAGGAAGAAGAGGGGAGGAATGGATGGCAGGAGGAGGATGAGGGAGGGTAGGGAGAGGAGGAGGTGGAATCGCAGGCCCTGCTCGCGACGAATTGGCGAAGCGTCGACGAGAGTGCACCCCCACCCACCAACCCCTCTGGACCTCGCCTCCTTGACCTTGTGACCCCTCCCACATGACCCCCCCCCTCCTCCCTCCCCTCCAGGCACGTGTCCCGACTCTGCCGTCCTCCTGCAGCCCCCCGGCGGTCTCCGCCGCGAGCCCCGAGCCGGCGGTGCCGGGGAGCGACGGCCACGGCCGCTCCGGCCGAGCCGGTAGGCAGCGGCGCGCGTGCCCATTGGTCGGCTCGGCCACGCCGGGGCGACGGAGCGTTGCAAGGATCCAGGCGTGTGCACGGTTGTTCTTCCTTGTTGATCGTCGTCGTCGTGTGTGTATGTGTGTGAAGCAGGCAGCGCGTCGGATGACACGGTGGGGTCCAGCCCCAGCCTGTCCGGGGGCAGCTTCAGGCAGGACCCCGCGGCGTCGCCCGTCGCCACGCGGCGGAGACACAGACGCCGTGAGACCCCCACCGCGAACCGCTACGCGACCCCCAACGCGACCCCCACCGCCGACCCCCACCGCGACCCCCACCGCGACCCCCACCGCGACCCCCACCGCGACCCCTAACGCGACCCCCACCGCGACCCCCAACGCGACCCCCAACGCGACCCCCAACGCGACCCCCAACGCGACCCCCACTGCGGACCCCCACCGCAACCCCCCATTGCGACCCCCACTGCGACCCCCACCATGACCCCCACCGCGACCCCCTACGCGACCCCCTATGCGACCCCCAATGCGACCCCCCAACGCGACCCCCAACGCGACCCCCAACGCAACCCCTCTCAACCCCCTGCGACCCACCCCACTCCCTGATTACTCAAAACCTGCCAAGAACCCGTAAACCCTCTCGACACCACCATGACCCCTCTCGACACCCTGTAACCCCAATCTTGACCCCACGACCCCCGTGACCCCTCTTGTCCCCTCGATCTACTCAACGCGGCCACCCTCGATGTGACCCCATAACCCCAAGTGTGTGTCCCATCCGTGACCATCCTCATATGACGTTGGCGTGACCACGTGACCACGTGACCACATGACCCCCCCTACCCCCCACCCAGACGGAGAGGAGTCGTCGTCGTCGTCGTTGGCGTCGCCGCCGTCCCCGTGCGACTTCACCGTGGTGTCTCTGACGGGAGAGAGTTGGCACTTCGAGGCGGCGAGCGGCGATGAGCGCGGCGCCTGGGTGGCCGCCATCGAGGGGAGGATCTTCGCCAGCCTCCAGTCCTACAGCAGCGGCGGGGGAGGGGACGCACGCTCCGCACCGGTACGGGGGGGGGGGGCGGGGGGGGGTGGGGGGTGTTGGGCGGAGGGGGGGGGCAGGGGGGGAGAGGGCAGGGGGTGGGTGATGATGACGAGTGAGGGAGTTTGATGATGAAGAGGAGGGTGGTTGATGGTGATGACGATGGTGATGGTGATGACGATGGTGGTGGTGATGGTGGTGGTGATGGTGACGCTGCTGGTATTGGGCGGAGGGGGGTGGCAGGGGGGGAGAGGGCAGGGGGTGGTTGGTGATGACGAGTGAGGGAGTTTGATGATGAAGAGGGGGGTGGTTGATGGTGATGATGACGATGGTGGGTGGTGATGGTGGTGATGGTGGTGGTGATGATATATTGGGCGGAGGGGGGTGGCAGGGGGGGAGAGGGCGGTGGGTGGGTGATGATGACGAGTGAGGGAGTTTGATGATGAAGAGGAGGGTGGTTGATGACGATGATGATGGTGGTGGCGATGGTGACGCTGCTGGTATTGGGCGGAAGGGGGTGGCAGGGGGGGAGAGGGCAGGGGGTGGTTGGTGATGACGGTTGAGGGAGTTTGATGATGAAGAGGACGGTGGTTGATGGTGATGACGATGGTGGTGGTGGTGATGGTGGTGATGGTGACGCTGCTGGTATTGGGCGGAGGGGGGTGGCAGGGGGGGAGAGGGCAGGGGGTGGTTGGTGACGACTGGTTAGGGAGTTTGATGATGAAGAGGAGGGTGGTTGATGACGATGATGATGGTGGTGGCGATGGTGACGCTGCTGGTACGACGCGTGGCGTGATGCGAGGCGGGGATGGCAGCAGTCATGACGATAACGAACGGCGACGAAACCTTGCCGCGCTTCGCCGTCACACGCTCCCAATCGCCGCCCATCACACTCAGCGGCATCGTCGTGGTACAAGACCATCGGCGTGGTATGTGCGTGACCTTGTGTGACCCCGTGTAAACATGACCTTGTGACACTGTGCACGTGACCTTGTGACCCCGTGAGCGTGACCTCGTGACCCCGTGCGCGTGACCTCGTGACCCCGTGCGCGTGACCTTGTGACCCTGTGCGTGTGACCTCGTGACCCCGTGCACGTGACCTCGTGACCCCGTGCGCGTGACCTTGTGACCCCGTGCGCGTGACCTTGTGACCCGTGCACGTGACCTTGTGACCTTGTGCACGTGACCCCAGTCGCCCCAGGAGCTGCAGCGACGGCAGCGGACGATCGAGGAGATCCGCAGCGTGCCGGGCAACGAGCGCTGCGTGGACTGCGGCCTTCCCAGTACGACACCACCACCACCGTCACCACCACCACCACCGTCACCACCACCGTCGTCACCACCACCACCATCACCACCATCACCATCACCACCACCGTCGTCACCACCACCATCACCACCGTAGTTGTCACCACCGTCGTCACCACCGTCGTCACCACCACCGTCATCACCACCACCGTCACCACCGTAGTCGTCACCGCCGTTGTCATCATCTTGATCATCGTCATCATCTTGAGCATCGTCATCATCATGATGATCATCACCGTCATTGTCACTGTGATCGTCGTCGTCGTCGTCGTCATCATCTTATGTTTGTGTCTCCACATGTGTGTACCTCTGTGTGTGTATGTATGTACCTGTGTGGTGTGTGTATACCTCTGTGTGTGCATGTACCTGTGTGTCTGCACCTGTGCGGTCGTGTAACGGGTAGCGCTACGCTGCGCTACGAACTCGGCGTCCCGAGTTCGATTCCCGCTCACGGCCAACACCGGTGACGATTATCTGAACCGGGTCTTGGGCCTCCCATAGGTCGACTCAGCCTCAAATGAGTACCTGGTGTGGTGTGTAAACATCGCCACTAGGGAGACAAAGACGGCCGGGCGTGGTTTTGGCCACCCACCCTCTCGTGTGTCGTTCTGGCTTTCATAGGTGCTTGCTAACAGCACTTGCCCCAACAGTCTGTTACAGGCTATACGGGGGATCTTTGTGTATGTGTGTAGACGCAAGTTGGGTGAGCCTAAACCTGTGTGCCCTCATGTGCATCTTGTGTTGCGCCGTGTGTGTGTGTGTACCCCTGTATGTGTCGACCCGTGTGTGTGTGTGTACCCCTATATGTGTCGACCCGTGTGTGTGTGTGTGTGTACCCCTGTATGTGTAGACCCGTGTGTGTGTGTAGACCCGTGTGTGTGTGTACTTAACTGTGCATGTGTGTGTGTGTAGACCCGTGTGTGTGTGTGTACCCGTGCGTGTGTGTGTACCCCTGTATGTGTAGACCCGTGTGCGTGTGTGTACTTACCTGTGCATGTGTGTGTGTGTGTAGACCCGTGTGTGTGTAGACCCGTGTGTGTGTGTATGTGTGTGTATTTATCCGTGTGTGTGTGTGTAGTCCCGTGTGTGTATGTGTGTGTAGACCCGTGTGTGTATGTGTGTGTGTGTAGTTCCGTGTGTGTATGTGTAGACCCGTGTGTGTGTGTATTTACCCGTGTGTGTGTGTAGACCCGTGTGTGTGTGTAGTCCCGTGTGTGTATGGTGTGTGTGTATTTACCCGTGCGTGCGTGTTTAGACCCGTGTGTGTATGTGTGTGTTTGTGTGTGTATAACCCGTGCGTGCGTGCGCGTGTGTGTGTGTGTACCCGTGTGTGTGTGTGTGTGTGTTTAGACCCGTGTGTGTATTTACCCATGTGTGTATGTGTGTGTGTATTTACCCCTGTATGTGTGTGTATTAACTTGCGTGTGTGTGTGTAGACCCGAGCTGGGCAAGCCTCAACCTGGGCGCCCTCATGTGCATCTCGTGCTGCGGCGTGCACCGTGCGCTGGGCGCGCACCTGTCGCGCGTGCGCTCCCTGCAGCTGGACTACTGGCCGCCCGAGCTGGCCGCCGTGCTCACCGCCATGGGCAACCGCCTCGCCAACAGCGTCTGGGAGGGCGCCCTCGACGCCGCTGCCGCCGCTGCGACGACAACGACAACGACCGATGCTGGCGCGAACACCACAACCGGGGCGACGAAGGCGGACGCGAACGCCGCCGATGCGAGCGCTGGCACGGCCGCCACCACTGCCGCTGGACGCAGCGAGGGAGGGAGGGGACACAGAAGGAAGCCGCGTGCCGACTCCAGCAGGTGAGGGAGGCGTTCAACGATGGCGAATTTGCTGCTGCTGCTGCTCCTCCTGCCGCCTGCCTCCTCCCTCTCTCCTCCTCCTCCCTCTCTCCTCCTTCCTAATGAACGCTGCGGGGGTGCGGTGGGCAATACCAGGCCCGGCCGCCTTTGTCTTCCCCAGAAAGAGCCGAGTCTCGAGAAGGGGTCTCGCTCTGCATCGGGACGTTTTAGCGAGTCGCTTAACGAGCCCTGTCTGGGTGGCACGTGGGAGGGGGTGGGCAATCGCGATGCTCGGTGTGCAACCCCGTGACCCCGTGGCACCCCGTGACCCCGTGACCCCCTCCCCCCCCCCCCCCACCGACCGGCACAGGGAGGAACGCGAGCGCTGGATCTGGGACAAGTACCGTGAGCGCCTCTTCCTGGCGCCGCTGCCTCCTCCTCCTCCGTCGCCGCCATCGTCGCCGTCGTCGCCCGGTGCGGCGTTCGGCACGCGCCTCGCCAGCGCCGTCACTGCCGGAGACGTGCGCTCCGTGGCGCTGCTGCTGGCTCACAGCGAGCGCGAGCAGGTGCCAGCCCACCCGCCAGATCGCTTGCCCATCTGTTCACTCGCTGACTCACTTGTTTGCTTGTTCACCCACTCGCTCGCTCGCCCACTCACTCGCTCGCTCGCCCACTCACTCGCCAGATCACTATATCACCCGCCCGCCAGATCGCTTGTCCATCTGTTCACTCGCTGACTCGCTTGTTCGCTCGTTCACCCACTCACTCGCTCGCCCACTCACTCGCTCGCTCGCCCACTCACTCGCTCGCGAGATCACTATATCACCCGCCCGCCAAATCGCTTGCCCATCTGTTCACTCGCTGACTCACTTGTTCGCTCGTTCACCCACTCGTTCGCTCGCCCACTCACTCGCTCGCGAGATCACTATATCACCCGCCCGCCGGCTCGCTTGCCCATCTGTTCACTCGCTGACTCACTTGTTAGCTCGTTCACCCACTCGTTCGCTCACCCACTCACTCGCTCGCTCATCCACTCACTTGCTCGCACGTGAGGTCACTAGATCACTTACTCACGAGGTCACTCAATCACTCGATCACTCGCTCACGAGGTCACTCGCTCGCGCGTGAGGTCACTAGGTCACTAGGTCACTAGATCACTCGCTCACGAGGTCACTCGTTCACCTACTCGCTCGCTCACTCGCACGTGAGGTCACTAGATCACTCGCTCACGAGGTCACTGAATCACTCACTCACTCGATCACCCACTCACTCGCTCACTCGATCACTCACTCACTCAATCGCGTGTGAGGTCACTCACAAGCCGAGCCGCCATCTCTGACGTGGCCATTGCGAACGTAAGCGACGTCCAGTCCCAGGGTTCGACCCTTAACCACCAAGCTCTGGGCGGTGCCCTGCTCCGTACCCTCCCCGACGCGGCCATGATGAACCGCGTGGTTCCCCCGCGTGCACGTGCCAGGTGAATGAGGCGTGCGCGGGGGGGTCACGTGACGGGCCTGGCGGGGAGCCCATCCTTCACCTCGCCTGCGCGAACGGGGACGTCGTCACGACGCAGCTCCTCATCTGGGTGAGGAAACCTCGCGGCTGCGCCCGTCTGCGCGTTTGACGATTGGGCCTCCCCTAGGTCGACTAGGCCTCAAATGAGTGCCTGGTGCGGTGTGTAAACATCGCCACTGGGGAGACAAAGGCGGTCGGGCGTGGTTGTTGGCGACCTACCTCCTCGTGTGCCGTGCCGGCCCTCATAGGTGCTCGCTAACAGCACTTGCCCCTGCAGTCTGTTGTACATATATATATATGAACACTGAACTTATTTTGCACCACCGTACATAGACAACCGTGGTAATCGGAGGTGCGGGGTGAGGGCAAGAACTAAACACCCACACACACAAACTGCTCAGGCCTCAAACCATGGTGGCGAGGAAATGTTAACTACCTCGCCTGGTATGCAAGAGGTCGTGGGTTCGATCCCGACCCTCATGCCTGCTGCTGCTGTATATTTGGAGTTTGCGTGTCTTTCTCATCATCATCACGGTGGCTAGGAGATGTTAACTACTTCGCCTGGTATGCAGGAGATCGTGCGATCGATCCAGACCCTCATGCCTGCTGCTGCTGCATATTTGGAGTTTGCGTATCTTTCACATCATCATCATCACGGTGGCTAGGAGATGTTAACTCCCTCGCCTGGTGTACAGGAGGTCGTGGTTTGCCTGCGATAGAAATTCACACGCGACCAAGAGCGCTCGCTCCATAGCAGCCGTGGTTGGACTTTCACCCGGTCAAAATTAAAATGATAATAACGTAACTTTTTATTAATTTTAATTCATTTTAATTCACACCCCCCCCTCCCCCCCCCCCCCAGTATGGCGCCGACGTGCGCCGTCGCGATGCTGCGGGTGTCACGGCGCTGGCGCGCGCCCGTGCCGCACACAGCCACCTGTGTGTCGACGTCCTGCTCGCCCACGGCTGCCCCGAGGGCGACTGAGGCTGCCCGCTCCACCTCGACTGGAGCCACCCTCACCACCTCGACTAGAGTCACCCTCACCACCTCGACTAGAGCCACCCTCACCACCTCGACTAGAGCCCCCCTCACCACCTCGACTAGAGTCACCCTCACCACCTCGACTAGAGTCACCCTCACCGCCTCGACTAGAGCCACCCTCACCACCTCGACTAGAGCCCCACTCACCATCTCGACTAAAGCCCCCCTCACCACCTCGACTAGAGTCACCCTCACCGCCTCGACTAGAGTCACCCTCACCACCTCGACTAGAGTCACCCTCACCACCTCGACTAGAGTCACCCTCGCCATCTCGACTAGAGTCACCCTCGCCACCTCGACTAGAGTCACCCTCGCCACCTCGACTAGAGTCACCCTCGCCACCTCGACTAGAGTCACCCTCGCCACCTCGACTAGAGTCACCCTCGCCACCTCGACTAGAGTCACCCTCACCACCTCGACTAGAGTCACCCTCGCCGCCTCGACTAGAGTCACCCTCACCACCTCGACTAGAGTCACCCTCACAACCTCGACTGGAGTCACCCTCACCACCTCGACTAGAGTCACCCTCACCACCTCGACTAGAGTCACCCTCGCCACCTCGACTAGAGTCACCCTCGCCGCCTCGACTAGAGTCACCCTCACCACCTCGACTAGAGTCACCCTCACCACCTCGACTAGAGTCACCCTTACCACCTTGAATGGAGTCACCCTCACCACCTCGAATGGAGTCACCCTCACCACCTCGACTAGAGTCACCCTCACCATCTCGACTAGAGTCACCCTCGCCACCTCGACTGGAGTCACCCTCACCACCTCGACTAGAGTCACCCTCGCCACCTCCACTGGAGTCACCCTCACCACCTCGACTAGAGTCACCCTCGCCACCTCGACTAGAGTCACCCTCGCCATCTCGAATAGAGTCACCCTCACCACCTCGACTAGAGTCACCCTCACCACCTCGACTAGAGTCACCCTCACCACCTCGACTAGAGTCACTCTCGCCACCTCGACTGGAGTCACCCTCACCACCTCGACTAGAGTCACCCTCGCCACCTCGACTAGAGTCACCCTCGCCACCTCGACTGGAGTCACCCTCGCCCACCTCGACGAGTCACCCTCGCCACCTCGACTAGAGTCACCCTCACCACCTCGACTAGAGTCACCCTCACCACCTCGACTGGAGTCACCCTCACCACCTCGACTAGAGTCACCCTCGCCACCTCGACTAGAGTCACCCTCACCACCTCGACTAGAGTCACCCTCGCCACCTCGACTAGAGTCACCCTCACCACCTCGACTAGAGTCACCCTCACCACCTCGACTAGAGTCACCCTCACCACCTCGACTAGAGTCACCCTCACCACCTCGACTAGAGTCACCCTCACCACCTCGACTAGAGTCACCCTCACCACCTCGACTAGAGTCACCCTCACCACCTCGACTAGAGTCACCCTCGCCATCTCGACTAGAGTCACCCTCGCCACCTCGACTAGAGTCACCCTCGCCACCTCGACTAGAGTCACCCTCGCCACCTCGACTAGAGTCACCCTCGCCACCTCGACTAGAGTCACCCTCGCCACCTCGACTAGAGTCACCCTCACCACCTCGACTAGAGTCACCCTCACCACCTCGACTAGAGTCACCCTCACCACCTCGACTAGAGTCACCCTCACCACCTCGACTAGAGTCACCCTCACCACCTCGACTAGAGTCACCCTCACACCTCGACTAGAGTTACCCTCGCCATCTCGACTAGAGTCACCCTCACCATCTCGACTAGAGCCCCCTTCACCACCTCGACTAGAGTCACCCTCACCACCTCGACTAGAGTCACCCTCGCCACCTCGACTAGAGTCACCCTCACCACCTCGACTAGAGTCACCCTCGCCACCTCGACTAGAGTCACCCTCACCAACTCGACTAGAGTCACCCTCACCACCTCGACTAGAGTCACCCTCACCACCTCGACTAGAGTCACCCTCACCACCTCGACTAGAGTCACCCTCACCACCTCGACTAGAGTCACCCTCACCACCTCGACTAGAGTCACCCTCACACCTCGACTAGAGTCACCCTCGCCACCTCGACTAGATTCACCCTCGCCACCTCGACTAGAGTCACCCTCACCACCTTGACTAGAGTCACCCTCACCACCTCGACTAGAGTCACCCTCACCACCTCGACTAGAGTCACCCTCACCACCTCGACTAGAGTCACCCTCGCCACCTCGCCTAGAGTCACCCTCGCCATCTCGACTAGAGTCACCCTCGCCACCTCGACTAGAGTCACCCTCACCACCTCGACTAGAGTCACCCTCACCACCTCGACTAGAGTCACCCTCACCACCTCGACTAGAGTCACCCTCACCACCTCGTCCCGCAGGTCCAGCAACCTCCGCCTGCTCCCTCTCGCCCCGGGGGTGGGGGGCGGGGGGGGTCACACTCCTGGGGGGGGGGGGTGGTGGAGGGGGGGGGGTGAGGAGCGGTGGTGGAGCGGTGTCGATGTCCAGGGGTGGTCCAGATATCTCGTGACCACCCCCCCCCCACCCACCCCACCTATCGAATTTTATAAAACGTCCTCTTTTTTTCAAGTTTAGCTCTATTTAAAACGCAAATGAATATGCAAAGGAACAGAACTCACGCCAGGGGTCCGGGTCAATTGGGGCGCGGGGGACCTACCCTGTAGACACCAGGGGCTCTTATCCGTGTCGATGGTGAGAGGAGAGGGAGGAGCGGTGGTGCAGCAGTTGGCGCATCGTGGCCAACGTCGGTGGCGAGCGATGCCTGGTACGCACCCCCGCGTGCCCGTACCCCCCCCCCGCCCACGTTGACCGGCGTGGTGAAGTATGGTCAAACAAACCCCCCCCCATCCCCATGACTGCAAGGTGTCGGGGGGGTGGAATGACAGACCAGAAATATGTCGACACATCTGTGGTGGCGATGATGACGACGATCACAATGGCGGTTGACCACGTGGCGGGGGTGCTGGAGTCGAACTATCAACACCTGCAAAGGTCGTAAGGTCAAATCCTGGTTGGATGGGGGTGGGGGGTGTGTGAAGGGAGGGGGCGGGGGGGTGACTCAACCCATCATTTCTCCTCCGTTGTTCGTGTCCCTTAAAATACGAACCAATGTGCGCGAATTCAACAGATGTATTTTTCCTAAACTTTTTCGTACTTTTTTTTAACGGGACTTAACCCCGCCAAAGGAACGTGGAATTGTCACCAACGTGGATGGGGGGCACGCGCTGCCCGCCCGCTCGCCCGCCCCCAAACGCCCCACGCGGCTGAATTAAACCCGACGGGCAAAAACAAGGAACACGACGTCTGAAATGGAAACGGTGTGGAACGCGTCCGTGGGAACGCGTCCGTGGGAGCGGTGAAAAGGGAATCCACTGCGGGTGTCACGGGCGGCGCTTCACATCGCGAGAGGAACTCTTTGGTGGAGGGTGTCCTTCATCATCCAGCGGTGGATTGACCAAGACTCCTGATGCTGCTCATGGTGATGTGATGATCAATGGATGAATCGGTGGAACTGCCTTCGACCGCTGCCTTTGGGACTTTCAGGAGCAGCCGGGAACAACCGCCAGCAGCACCGCTGTGGACATGGGAGAATCGGCGGACATGAAATGGGGAATTCCAAGGATACATTCTGAAGAGAGTTTTTTTTGGGGCTCCGATCGCGTAAATATAAAAAAAACCTCTGTCGTGGATGATATCGGTCGCGAAAGCCGACGTGTTAAACTCAAAAAACGATAAAGTTGCTTCGACTGCAAGATGTATTTATTTCGTTGTTAGGGTTTCAAGATTCTGCGCACCGAGTGCAGTTTGTAAGTCGATTCTGGGTGACGGAAACGCGTGTTTTAAAGGTGCACTATCATGGTACTGTACAACACCGTTGGTGTCTAACTTTTATCGCACATTCAGCTGCTGCTGCTGCCGTGAGCTTCTTTGGTTTAGTCCGGCTCCATTCGATCTCCCGGTGCGGCAGTTGAAACAATGGTGCGAGTTTTGTAAATACTCACCCACTCACCCACCCACGTACTCAACCACCCACTCATTCACCCACCCATACACTCACTCACTCACTAATCCACCTTCCCACCCACTCACTCATCCACCCACTCACTTATCCCCTCACTCACTCATCCATGTCCTCATCCACCCACTCATTCAACCACCCACCCACTCATCCGCCCACTCACACACCCACCCACTCACTCATCCACTCACCCATACTCACTTATCCACCCACTCATCCACCCACCCACTCACTCTCTCACCCACCTACCTACTCACTCATCCACCCACCCACTCACTCATCCAACCACTCATCCAACCACTCATCCACCCACCCACTCACTCACCCACTCACCCATACTCACTCATCCACCCACTCACTCATTCACCCACCCACTCATTCACCCCCCCCCCCTCCACCCACCCACCTACTCACTCACCCACTCACTCACCCATGCTCATTTATCCACCCACTCATTAATCCAACCCACTCACCCACCTCCTCTGTCAGCTCAGCAGTAGAAATGGGTGCCCTACTGACAGTGTATTGGCAGGTGGGGTGGGGGGTCCACTGCGGGCACTGCCACCTCTTCCACGACGTACCGACCGGCGTGGAAAGAGTAGGCCGAATACCCCCCCCCGGTGGAGGCTTTCCTCGCAGAGCTTAACGCTCGTGGGCGCCCCTCCGACCAGCAGTGGCGCGAGCGAAGCGCTTGTAGGGCTGCTCCTACATCTCTGTTTTAATCGGGACACTTGGTGAATTAATCGATTCCGGCGATACGGCGTGTTGCCACGATTCCGGGGAATCGATTCTCGTCTTTATGCGCGTTTTTTTTATATTATGATGGTGATGATGATGATTATTACCGTGCGGTTTGTAGACATGAGATGGTGGTGATGATGATGATTCGCTGTCGATGTTTTGTTTCCCGTTGCCTCTCGCCGTCTCTGCGCCCTGACTGTGCAGTGAGAGTTGCGTCCGGCTGTGCGTCTGGGTCATTTTTTTTTTGCATATAAAATTTGCGTACAATGTCGGAATGTGTCTCTCACAACCGCGGCGATCCGTCTCGCATTGACTGCAAGGCCCCACGGGG